ATTTTTGCAAAAGGTATAAGAGCTATGTCTAAATTTATTTTCTTTTGCATGATGTTCTAGCATCATTTGTTGAAAGACTATTTTTTGATTGTATTATCTTTGCTTTTCTTTCAAAGATCAGTTGACTATATTTAGGGGTGGGTCTACTTCTAGGCTCTCTATTCCATTGATCTTTTTGTCTACTTTTTTGTCTTGATTACTCATAAATTTATAGTGAATCTTAAAACTAGATATTGTTCTCTGGCTTTTACACCTCTTTTATTTATTTATTTATTTTGGTATTTTGGCTCTCTATAAACTTTAGAATCAGCTTGTCAATATTCATAATATAAGTTTCTATATCATCAGCGTTTTATAGTTTTTCTCATATATTTGGCATATGTTTTGTCAGAGTTGTAAGTGATGTTTTAGTACTAATATAAATGTTATTGTTTTTTAATTTCAAATTCTATTTGTTAATTATTGGTATATAGGAAAGTGATTGATTTTGTATGTTAACTTTGTATCCTGATAAGTGATTATCCTTTGTATCCTCAGTATAATCACTTATCAGTTCTAGAAATATTTTTGTTAATTCTTTTAGATTTTCAAAATAGGCAATCATGAGCTGGGGTTATGGCTCAGTGATAGAATGCTCGCCTAGCATGCATGAGGCACTGGGTTCAATCCTCAGCACCACATAATAATAAAATAAAAATATATGTCCACTTAAAACTAAAAAATAAATATTAAAAAATAGGCAGTCATTGTGTTTGTTAAAGGAGACATCTGATTAATTTGCAAAGTAAAATGCTAAAACAACAACTGTTAAATATAAAAACAAGTACTTTGACTTCTTAAATTCCATAAAGTAATATATTTAAACATTATGTGTGTTTTCATAAATGGATAAATGAAAAATGTTTAAAAAAGTAGGCAATCATATAATATGTGAACAAAGACAGTTGTATTTATTCCTTCCCATTCTGGTGCTTTCTATTTCTTTTCTTTTTGGTCTTATTTTATTTTCTAGGACTTCTAGTACAACGTTTGAAAAGGAGTGATAAGAAGGGAAAGCCTTGCCTTGTTCCTGATGTTGGCAGGAAATTTTAGTTTCTCACCATTAAATATGATGTTAGCTCTAGGTTTGTTGAAGCTATTCATCAAGTTGAGGACTTTCGCCTTTATTCCTGGTTTGTTGAGAAGCTCTCCCTCACTTTGGTACTAGGTATTCTATCCAGAGCCTTGCATATGCTAAGCCAGTACTCTACCACTGAGTTTCATCTCCAGACTGTTTTTTTTTTTAAATATATTTTTAGACAGAGTATCACTGAATTAATTGCCCAGGCAGACTTCAAATTTTTGATCCTCCTGCCTCAGTCTCCTCAGTTGCTAGGATTACACTCAGCTGCTGAGAGGTTTTTTTTTTTTTTTTTAATCAGTGTTGGATTTTGTTAAATGCTTTCTTTTTCTGCATCTATTGATCTGATCATGTAATTTTTCCTCTTTAGTCTGTTAATGTGGTGGATCATTTTTTTAAAAAAATTTAGTTGTAAATGGACACAATACCTTTATTTTATTTATTTATGTGGTGCTGAGGATAGAACCCAGTGCCCCACACATGTGAGGTAAATTCTCTCCCACTGAGCCACAACCTTAGCCCACATCAATTCATTTTTGAATGTTGAAACAGCCTTGAATGTCTGGAATGAATCCCACTGGGTTATGCTTTATAATTCTCTTTAAATTGTTGGATTCTGCTTGATTATATTTTGTTGAGGACTTTGCATGTATGCTCATGAGTGATGGTGGTCCAGTTTTCATGTAATGTCTTTGACTAGTATGGGGTAATACTGGTCTCATAGAAAGGATCCCCAGAACTTCTATCTTCTGGAAGAGATTGGAGAAAATTGGTATAATTATTTCCTTAGTCTGTTTCAAAGAATTCACCAGTGGAACCCATTTTAGTAATGTAGCTGGGTTTTTTGTTTGTTTGTGTTTGGTACCAGGGATTAAACCCAGGGGCACTTAACCACTGAGCCATATCCCCAACCTGCTTTTTATTTTGAGACAGGGTCTCAGTAAGTTGCTCAGGGCCTCTCTAAATTGCTGAGGCTGACTTTGAATTTTTAATCCTCCTGCCTCAGCCTCCGAGCTGCTGGGATTACGCAACACTGCTTCTTGCTTAGCTGGGTTTTTTAAATTTTTTTTTCAGTTCTCATCTCACTCTGAGGTATTTTACTAATTTATTTGCTTGCTAGGAGCAATGGCGCATACCAGTAATCTCAGCGATTAGGGAGGCTGAGGCAGGAGATTCACAAGTTTGAGGGGAAGTTTAGCAAGACACTGTCTCAAAGTTAAAAAAAAAAATGTTTAAAGGATCTTGGGATGTGGCTTACAGGTAGAGTGCCCCTGGGCTCAATCACCATTACCATAAAAAACAAACAACAAAAAATACATACTTATTTGCTTTGTGGGAAAGCAATATTGCATTGATTTACAAAGAAGAAATTATCTAAACTCTGTTCAGGAGGGTTGAGACCAAAAAATTAACTGTAATACTCAGTTTCAACTCTGCAGGAACTTTTTTTGCTGCTGGAGTGAATGTGAGAGTTTATGATCTGTTATATGGAGTCCTATGAACTGAGAGCAGGTGAATGTGGTCAGCCCAAGGAAACCATGGATTCATTTGAGAAAGGTAAAGCCAGAGTCTGAGACAGTAATTAAGAAGCAGCTAATAAGTACCAGTTTCCATACTAGGTACTAGATATTACATTTGTTGTTGTTTTGTTGTTGCTGCTGTGGATTGAACCCAGGGCTTCATGCATGTTAAACTTGCATTTTACCACTGCCACTGAGCTACCTCATAAGTCATCCTCTTGAATCTTTATCCGCATTCTTTTTTTTGTTTTAGTACCAAGAATTGAACCCAGGGACACTAAACCATTCATTGAGCTACATTCCCATCCCTTTTCATTTTTATTTTGACACAGGGTCTCACTAACCTTACTAGAATGCTGAGGCTGGCCTTGAACTTGAGATCCTCCTGCTTCAGCATCCCAGAGCTGCTGGGATTGCTGGCATTTGCCATGGCACCAGTTTCTACCCTCCATTCCCCATTCTTTTAAGATAGTTATTGTCTTATGCTCATTTAACTAATGAGGAAACTGAGGTTCAAAGAAGTTAACTGATTTTCCCAAGTTCACTCAGTTTGTAGGTAGAAGAGTTATGATTTGAATCTTGGTCTGGTGCCTCAAAAGACATAATCTTCCCATTTATTACCTTGCTATTAATACAGGGAAACATTAGAGATGCTTAGTTCTAAAGAGTACCCTCAAACAGCCAATGTTAAGAAACAGACTGGTGTACTTGAAATATCATGACTTATTGTACTGAACTCACCTAGCTTGGAAACTTCTTACCCCTAATTATTGGAGAGGACTTGAGCTGGTTAATTAGCTTATATGAACTTTGCTCACAAAAAAATGGTGATAACACCTGCCTCAAAAAATCATTGGGAGGATTAAATAAATGTACACTAGCATTGTACCTAGCACACAATACAAAACTGTAAATGGCAGTGCTTATAGCCCCTTGATCTTATGGTCTGTACTTAACATTCATGTAGAACAAGTATTTATAAACACCAAAAAATGCATCTGTTTTTCTAGAAAATTAGAAAAATTTTACATACATTAAAATATTTATTCAGAACTTCTGTTTCATTTTATCTAGGTTAGGTCTGTGTTGAGACAGTGTTTAATGTTTGATGGTTTATTCTACCATATGTGTAGGGATAAAAAATCATATTTCTGATATCACAGTGGTAAAATGTTATCTAATAAATATGAATGATTTGTGAGTTTGGAAAGATAAATTTCTAAATTAGGGGCTGGGATTGTGGCTCAGTGGTAGAGTGCTTACCTAGCATATGCGAGGCACTGGATTCAATCCTCAGTACCACATAAAAAATAAATAAATACATAAAATGAAGGTATTGTGTCCAACTAAAAAATGTATTAAAATTTATAAATTAGACTTATAAAATTCAGGCTAGGCCTGGGGTTGTGGCTCAGTGGCAGAGTGCTTGCCTAGCATGTGTGAGGCACTGGATTGGATCCTCATCACCACATATAAATAAATAAATAAATAAAGATATTGTGTCCAACTACAACTAAAAAATATTTAACAAAAAATTCAGGCTGTATGGTTATAATAATGACCTATGGTATGCAGTACTCACTGAGTAGAAAAGCAAAGTAGGTAGAGAAGGCACTGCTTTTAAGAGATGTGGGAAGGCACTTTTATCCAATGCACTCCCTCTTCATCTGACTCCTTAATTCCCCAAATTCTACATCTCTCTTGACATTCCAATATCTTATGGTCTCAGGAAAACTAGTCTTCTTGGGAGAGGTAATGGGTTAAGTCATTCATTGCATCAAGCAATGAAAGATAAGGTATATTGGTTCTTTCCTAAAAGCAGATTATTCATAGGACAACAAGAGAAAAGGGCAAAGAGCAAAGCAAGGCAAATTTCCAGTTTCATAGGTGATTTTGAGCATTCCCTGGTGTCAAGTGGGAATTTGTATATTTTTTTCTTTCTCTTTTTTTTATTTCTTTTTACATTTTTTAAATACTGGGAATTAAACCCAGGAGCACTCTACCACTGAGCTGTATACCAAGATCTTTTATTTTACTTTTTAAATTTTGAGACAGAGTCTCACTAAGTTGCTGAGGCTGCTGTTGAACCTGCAGTCTTCCTGCTTCAGACTAAGTCTCTGGAATTACAGGCATGCATCATTGCACCCAGTTGTGTGCAATTTAATGATAGAAGATAACCTATTTTTGGCACATGGGTAACACAAATTTTCATTAACTGGATGGGAATGTAACTGCTGAAATGTCCTCATTTACATGTAGTAAGATTACTAGTAAAATTACTTTTCTTTGGAAAATATTATATCATGTTAACCTTCTTAATTAATATTCCTCTGTTCTTTTAATAGAGATAATCATAAGAAATGAATTTTAATGTCTGGAACATCAAAGAGATGCTCAGTATTCCTTCAGGCCCAGGGTAAGTTTTCTGGCTATATTCTTTGATACTTAAGATACTTAGGGGTTGTGGTTATAGCTGAGTAGTACAGCGCTTGCCTAGCATGTGTGAAGCACTGGGTTCCATCCTCAGCACCAAATAAAAATAAGTAATAAAACAAAATAAATGTATTGTGTTCATCTACAATTAAAAAAAAGAGAGAGTCTTATTGATTCTAGAAAGAAGGTCCCCTTCCTATTGGGTTGTAGTGGTAGAAATGCTCTGTACTATCTCTTCTAATCCTCTGTCACCATTGCTCCTTCTTGTGTCTTTTTCCCATTTATTGATTACAAAAGTGATGTTAATTCATATGTTAACTGAGCAATTACTTTTTACCCTACATTGGGCCTATGGATTGGACCTATGAGAATCAGAGATAGTCCAACATTTGGAACTGACCTTAGTTGGGGCAACTCTATTGAAGTAGTAAGGAATAAAATCAAGTCAGTGTTCATATATATGTTTGATTGTGTGTGCAATTTTTAGGTACCATGGAAATAATAGTCACTCCAGCTTCTGGATGTGATGGTGCCTGCCTGTAATCCCAGTGACTCAGGAGGCTAAGGCAGGAGGCTGAGGCAGAAAGATTGAAAGTTCAAAGCCTCAGCAACTTAGCAAGGCCCTAAACAATTTAGTGAGCCCCTGTCTCAAAATAAAAAATAATGGGGCTGGGGTTGTGGCTTAGCGGTAGAGCACTTGCCTAGCAAGTGCAAAGCACTGAGTTTGATCTTCAGCACCACATAAAAATAAATAAATAAAGGTATTGTGTCCAATTACAACTAGTAAATAAATAAATTAATTAAATAAAAAGGGCTAGGTCTGTGGCTCAGTGGTTAAGGGCCCCTGGGTTCAATCCCAGGTACTAAAAAAGAATATTTAGTCCTAATTGAAAGCAATTGTAACCATTTTAACTATAGCCCTTATCTCGCTGGCCCTAATTTTAAAATTAGCCAATCAACTCCTCTAATCAGGGCAAAGGGCAGTGCAGTGTTAGGGATATAAAATTGCCCACCCAGGGGTACTTGCTAGCCAGGTTCCCTAGCATGCCTTGTGGCAGAAGTAAAGTTTGCTTTGCCCACATTCTTTCAAACACATGTTTGATTTCTTGCAGAGCCTGAGTATTTCTAACACTGGTTATAATAAAAATGTGTGGCATTCAAAATGTTCTTGTGTGGTGTGTGTTGTGGTGCCAGGGATCAAACCCAGGACCTTGAGCATGCTAGACAAGTGTTCTTCTACTGAGTTCTATCTCCAGATCCACACTCCCTTCTTCCCTCTCTCCTTCCCTCCTCCTTCTTTCTTTTGTTCCTTCTTTCTTTCTTTTTTTGAGGCAAGGTCTAGCTAAGTTGCTTAGGGCCTTGCTAAGTTGTGGAGGCTGGACTCTCAACTTGCAATCTTCCTGCCCCAGCCTCCTGATTAACTGGGATTAGAGGCCAGGTCCACCATGACCAACTCCAGCTCCTTTCTTGTGCTTCTTTGTACATATTACTGGCCATGTACAGGGGGCTTAAAAGTCAGAGTAAGTTAGCCCTGTGCCCAGGATATTCTGAAGTAAACACTTGTAAATTATGTTTTCATTGTTTAGGTTATATGTCCACTTAATATATTTATCTTGCTTAATTTTAGGACCACTAAGTCATCTAACTGGAATAATAATCAGACTGATTATACTGCTCTCAGTGATTCTCAGTTCCTCTTTGGATCTCAGTTTTGTCCAGAAAATTCAGAGACCCTGTCAGCACCCTTGGATTTCAGTGCCCACTTGAGACATTCAAAACAGTCACAACAGAATTCTCTGGATGTGAGTCTAATTTCCAGAATTTCTCTTCATGTATTTCATACCAATATATAGTAGAATCATACATTTTTAAAGCTACTATAGACTTGGTGGTCTGAAGTGAACAAAAAATAATAATACTTGCAATTTCTTCTCTTACCCAAATGATATAAAATACTGTTAGTCCCTGACTGCTTCTAGGAAAAGGCTTATACTGCATACATTTCCTAAGTCTAGTCACACTAATTTTTTTGTGAAAATTTGTAAGAAAAAATTTACATACAATAGGAATAAATTACATAAATTTTATATTAAATAGACTTTTTCCTAAGAAACTTCACATACTTTGTGGATTTCAATCAACTATACTACATTTATTTTTTGGGGGGGGCGGTAATGGGGATTGAACCCCGGGGCACTTAACCACTGAGCCAAATCCCCAGCCCTTTTTAATATATTATTTAGAGACAGGGTCTCATGGAGTTGTTTAGGGCTTCACTAAGTTGCTGAGGCTGGCTTTGAACTTGTGATCCTTCTGCCTCAGCCTCCCAAGCCACTGGGATTACAGGTGTGTAATCTGCACCCAGCTACATTATATTATTGATGAAGGAAGAAAATGAGGATTTTTGAGGGCCAAGATAATGAATAAGGGCCAGGAGAGGGAACAGTCTCTTGAATCCTTGAATACAGGAAATGGTTCACCATATGATATCATGACCATTGTCCAATCCATGTCAAACTTATCAATAGGTATTTTAATTCACTAGCAGATAAAATCAGCAAATCTAGTTAAACTTATTCATTTAAAAACTTTAATACATCATCTCAGAGATAGCATAAATAATTTTCTGTTGTTGCCTGTAAATTTATGCAATTAATTTTAAAGCAATCTTAACTGATATTTTAAATATCTTTGCTGGTAAGGTAGAAACCCTATTAATAGAAAGAGTTGTTTTATTGTAAATATAATTTCCTGTTAGACACAGAAATTCAAAAAAGCTACATGCTATATTGTTTTTAGCAATAAGGTTTGCACTTAAATATGATTCTGAATTATACAGAAAATAGTGAATGTTATGCATTTTTATGTGTGAAATGCTATATTGATTTTTTTTGTTCATTTAACAGAGTGAACCTAGTATTTTCACAAAGTACCAGACAAAACCCCAGCTCTTTGCAGGAGATACAAAAGATATAGGCCTATTTTCTATTCCTTTGCCAATTGGAAAGTCAAAAGGTCTTTTGACACAGTTTGAGGAGAAAAACAAAAGGACAAAAGATCAATGTGACAGGTATGCAACATTTTCAAGTGAATAAGGCAGCTTGTGTTTTTCTGAGGGAAACAAAAGGGAGTGTCAGTAATCAAAGAATTAAATTTCAATATGATAGCATGTATTAATGTTCTCCAGAGAAACAGAATCAATAAGATTTATATGTATATAGAGAGAAGAAGAGACAGAGACAAAGAAAAAAAGTTACAGAGATTGACTTATTATATGAATTGGCTCATGAGATTGTCTAGACCAAGAAGTGCCATAATCTGCTATCTGCAAGTTAAAGAACCAGGAAAGCCACAGGTATAACTCAGTCTGAGTCAGGAGGCCTGAGAAGGAAGGCGAGTGGTGGCTGCTGGTACAAGTCCTGGAGTTTGAAAGCCTGACAACCAGGGGGCTCTAATGTCTAACAAGATGGATATCCCAGCTCAAGAAGAAGGAGTGAATTTGCCCTTCTTTTATCTTTCTGTTCTATTTGGGCCTTCAACACATTAGATGATATCCATGTACATTGATAAGGGTTATCTTCTGTACTCATCCTACAAATTCACATGTAATCCTTAGACAAAAACCTTCATATACACACTTATAAATAATGTTTCATAAGCTATCTGGACATCTCTCAGCCTATTTAGCTTGACATACAAAATAACTCTTATTCTAGGCATGATGGCCCACGCATGTAACCCCAGAAACCTGGGAGGCTGAGGCAGAAGGATCGTGAGTTCAAAGTCAGCCTCAGCAATTCAGTAAGGCCCTTATCAACTCAGACCCTATCTCAAAATAAAAACTCAAAAAAGCGGGGAGGGTGCTGGGGATGTGACTCAGTGGTTAAGTGTCCCTGAGTTCAATCTCCAGTAACAAAATCAATCAAACAATCAATCAAACAAACAAAATAACCTCTGCCTTGTTCTTTTTTTAAATTTATTTATGTTATAGTAGAATGCATTTTGACATATACTACACAAATGGAGCACAACTTCTCATTCCTCAGTCTGTACTTAGTTCAGAGTTACTCCAGTAGTGTAATTATACATGTAAATAGGATAATAATGTTCATTTCTTTCTACTGTCCTCCCCATCCCCATAACCCACCCCTCCCCTTACTCCCCTCTACACAAACCAAAGTTCCTTCATTCTTTCCTATTCCCCACCCTCTACCCCACTATGGATCAGCATCCGCTTATCAGAGAAACCATTCAGCTTTTGTTTTTTTGGGTTTGGCTTATTTCACTTAGCATGATATTCTCTAGTTCCATCCATTTACCTGCAAATGCCATAATTTTATTCTTCTTTAAGGCTGAATAATATTTCATTGAGTATGTGCACCGGATTTTCTTTATCCATTCATCTGTTGAAGGGCATCTAGGTTGGTTCCATAGTTTAGCTACTGTGAATTGAGCTGCTATAAACATTGATGTGGCAGAGTCACTGTAGTATGCTGATTTTAAGTCCTTTGGGTATAAACCCAAGGAGTGGGATAGCTGGGTCAAATGGTGAATTCATTCCAAATTTCCTGAGGTATCTATCTCCATACTGCTTTCTATAGTAGTTGTACCAATTTGCAGTTCCACCAACAATGTATGAGTGTACCTTTTCCCCCACATCCTAGCCAACACTTATTATTGCTTGTATTCTTGATAAGTGAATTGAAATCTTAGTTTTGATTTGCATTTCTCTAATTGTTAGAGATGATGAACATTTTTTCATATGTTTGTTGGTTGATTATATTTCTTCTGTAAATTGTCTGTTCATTTCCTTAGCCCATTTATTCATTGGGTTATTTGGGTTTTTTGCTATTATGTTTTTGAGGTATTTTAAAAATATTTTTTTAGTTGTAGATGGACACAATACCTTTATTTTATTTATTTATTTTTATGTGGTGCCGGGGATTAAACACTGTACCTCATGCATGCTAGGCAAGCACTCTACCACTGAGTCACAACTCTGGCCCAGTTTGTTTTTTTTTTTTTAAGATTTCTTTTTCTTCCTTTTTTTTTAACATTTTTTTTTTAACACAATGCCTTTATTTTTATGTGGTGCTGAGGATCGAACTAGAGTTCCGCCCATGCTAGGCGAGCAATCTACCGCAGAGCCACAATCCCAGCCCCTGGCCCAGTTTTTAAGTCCTTTATATATCCTGGATATTAGTGCTCTGTCTGAGGTGGGTGTGGCAAAGATTTTTTTTCCCATTCTGTAGGCACTCTCATCACATTATTGATTTTTTTTTTTTTTTTGCTGAGAAGAAGTTTTTGAGTTTGAATCTATCTCATTTATTGATTCTTGATTTTACTTCTTGTGCTTTAGGAGTCTTGTTCAGGAAGTCAGATCCTAAGCCAACATGATGAAGATTTGGGCCTACTTTTTCTTCTGTTAGGCCCAGGGTCTCTGTTCTAGTGTCTAAGTCATTAATCCACTTTGAATTGATTTTTGTGCAGGGTAAGAGACAGAAGTTCAATTTCATTCTACTACATATGGATTTCCAGTTTTCCCAGCACCATTTGTTGAAGAGGCTATCTTTTCTCCAATGTATGTTTTTAGTACCTTTGTCTAGTATGAAATAACCATATTTATGTGGGTTTGTCTCTGTGTCTTCTCTTTTTTACCATTGGTCTACATGTCTATTTTGGTAAATACTATGCTATTTTTGTTACAATTGCTCTGTAATATAGTTTAAGGTCTGATATTGTTATGCCTCCTGCTTTACTCTTCTTGCTAAGGACTGCCTTAGCTATTCTGGGTCTTTTTATTTTTCCAAATGAGTTTCATGATTGCTTTTTGTGGTTCTGTGAAGAATGTCATTGGGATTTTTTTTTAAATTTTTTTAAGAGAGAGAGAGAGAATTTTTTAATATTTATTTTTTATTTTTTGGTGGACACAACATCTTTATTTTATTTTTATGTGGTGCTGAGGATCGAACCCAGCACCCTGCACATGCCAGGCAAGCGCGCTACCGCTTGAACCACGTCCCCAGCCCTGTCATTGGGATTTTTAAAGGAATTGCATTTAATCTGTATAACAGTTTTGTTAGTATGGCCATTTTGATTATATTAATTCTGCCTATCCAAGAGCATGGGAGATCTTTACATCTTCTGAGGTCTCTTCGATTTCTTTCTTTAGTGTTCTATAGTTTTCATTGTAGAGGTTTTTCACCTCTTTTGTTAGATTGATTCCCAAGTTTTTTTTTTGTTGTTGTTGTTTTTGTTTTTTTGAGGCCATCATGAATGGCGTGGTTTTTCTAATTTCTCTTGCAGAGGATTCATCACTTATGATTAGAAATGCATTTGATTTGTGGATATTGATTTTATATCCTGCTACTTTGCTGAATTCATTTATTAGTTCTAGAAGTTTTCTTATGGAATTATTTGGATCTTCTAAATATAGAATCATGTCATCAGCAAATAGTGATAGTTGGAGTTCTTTTCCTGTTTGTATCCCTTTAATTTCTTTCATCTGTCTGATTGCTCTAGCTAAAGTTTCAAGGACTGTTGAACAGAAGTGGTAAAAGAGGATATCCCTCTCTTGTACCAGTTTTTAGAGGGAATATTTTCAATTTTTCTTCACTTAAAATGATGTTGCCCTTGGGCTTAGCATAGATAGCTTTTACAATGTTGAGGTATGTTGTTTCTACTATCCCTAGTTTTTCTAGTGTTTTGAACATGAAGAGGTGCTGTTTTTTGTTAAATGCTTTCTAGCATCTATTGAGATAATCATATGATTCTTGTCTTTAAGTCTACTGATGTGATGAATTATGTTTATTGATTTCTGTATGTTGAATCAGTCTGGCATCCCTGGGATGAACCCTACTTGATTGTGGTGCACTATCATTTTAATATGTTTTTGTATGTCATTTTCCAGAATTTTACTGGTAATTTTTGCACTATGTTCATCAGGGATATTGGTCTGATGTTTTCTTTCCTTGATGTGTCTTTTTTTAAAAATTTATTTCTTTAGTTGGACACAATATCTTTATTTTATTTATTTATTTTTATGTGGTGCTGAGGATCGAACCCAGAGCCTCATGCTAGGTGAGCGCTGTACCACTGAGCCACAACCCCAGCCCCTTGATGTGTCTTTTGGAATCAGAGTGATACTAGCCTTACAGAATGAGTTTGGTAGGGTTCCCTCCTTTTCTGTTTCATGGAATAACCTGAAGAGTATTGGTATTAATTATTATTTGAAGGTCTTATAGAACTCAGCTGAGAATCCATCTGGTCCCTGGCTTTTCTTAGTTGGTAAGCTTTTGATGGAGTCTTCTATTTCCTTGCTTGAAATTGATCTGTTTAAATTATGTATGTCCTTTTGATTAAGTTTGAGCATATCATATGTTTCTAGAAATTTGTCAGTGTCTTTAGGATTTTCTATTTTACCAGAGTATAAATTTTCAAAATAGTTTCTAATTATCTTCTGTATTTCAATAGTGTTTGTTGTGATATTTCCTTTTTCATCATGAATTTTAGTGATTCTCTCTTCTTTTCATTAGGGTGGCTAAGAGTTTATCAATTTTATTTATTTTTTCAAAAAAACGAGCTACAGCCCAAGCCCTCTGCTATTTTTAATTTCTAATTTCTAGGTACTCTTTCTCGTTCTCTGCTTTTATAATATAACAACTTTCACTTCTTAAATTCTTAATTTACTTTTTTCATTTTAAAGCTTCCAAGCAATATCCCAATCTTTCTCACATGGAGAATATGGTTCTAGATTTTTTTGGGTTTTTTGGTGGGAATAGAACTCAGGATCCTGCACATGGTAGTCAAGTACTGTACCACTGAATTACATTCCCAGTCATGAAAATTCTTCTGTTAAAAAGTCAGTCTTGGGGGCTGGGGATGTGGCTCAAGCGGTAGCGCGCTCGCCTGGCATGCGTGCGGCCCGGGTTAGATCCTCAGCACCACATAAAACAAAGATGTTGTGTCCGCTAAAAATAAAAAAATAAATAAATATTAAAAAAAAAAAAGTCAGTCTTGGGGCTGAGGTTGTAGCTCAGTGGTAGAACACTTGCCTAACATGGGATAAAAGTTGATTAACAACTTAAAAAAAAAAGTCGGTCTTACAGAATATCTAACAGAATTAATATGAAGAGTTGTCATATTTGGATATCAAAATTTGATTTTTTATTTGTGTTTTATAGATTAAAGAAGCAAAATCTGTAGAATTTCATTAATAACAGTCTATGTCTTCATCTTTTTAAGAATATGATATTTAGCAGGGCATGGTGGCATATGTCTTATAATCCCAGCTACTCAAGAGGTTGAGGCAGGGGGCTGGGGATGTGGCTCAAGCGGTAGCGCGCTCGCCTGGCATGCGTGTGGCCCGGGTTCGATCCTCAGCACCACATACAAAGATGTTGTGTCCGCCGAGAACTAAAAAATAAATATTAAAAAATTCTCTCTCTCTCTCTCTCTTTAAAAAAAAAAAAAAAAGAGGTTGAGGCAGGGAAATTGCAAGCTTGAAGTCAGCCTGAGCAACTTAATGAGACCCTGTGCCAAAATAAAATAGATATCTAGATAGATAGATAGATAGATAGATAGATAGATAAAAAGAGTTGGGGATGTAGCGCAGTGGTAGACCACTTGCCTAGCATGTGTAAGACCCTAGATTCAATCCTTAGTACTGGAAAAAAAGGAATGGAATGTTTATTTGAGAAATATGTCATAATTTCTTTTTCATTGAAAATTAATATTTTCCCTAGAATTGTCTGTATATTAATTTCATTATTTTGGTCAACATAATGGTAAGACAAAAATGTGTTTAGGAATTTTGGACTTCTAGGAAAAAAACACTACTTCTGAAGCCAGTGTTGATGTAAAAATGAAAGGTGGTCTTTCCTTCTCTAGTAACTACTTTATTGCTAAAATTCACTCTTATTTAAGATATATATATTGTTAATTTTAAAAATAAAAATGTGATTTGCCTTGGAAATGGTCACAATTAACATTCTCCTTTTTTTTTCCCCCCAACTGGCACTGAAGTTTCTCAGGTTGAATCACCAACTCTGATCAGTATTTTGATGCTATACTAGATGGACACCTGCCATATTCATGGAATCAATTCTGTTGCATGTTGTTTCAATATTTCACAAAGCTTTGTTGTTTTTCTTTTTCTCCTATTCTAGTGAGACTCTATACAACTTTGTTTCCCAGGTCAGAGAAAGCATTCATAGGGTAAGTATAGCTACATTTTAAGGAGTTAGAGCATCTTACATCTTAAGAAGTTTAGTAACTATACTGTCTTGACTTTAGTTCTTGTAGAATCACAATTTTTAAGTACCCTTATTGATCATTAAATGACAATTCTCCAAGTTAGTAAAATAAGGCAACAGTCTGTGAATGTTTTCTTAATTTTGGGTTTCTTAGTTGCAGACGTCTGTGGAAAAGTCTGAGGAACATCTCAGTTCAAGAAGCCAATCTATTTTGGATTCTTTGGAGAATGTGGCTAAGACATGTGAGTCTCTCATGTTTGTATTTATCAGCAGAAGGCATCAGCAAATGGTGAACATGAACTTTCTAACCCTAGCCAGGTTTCAAGGAGTGTGATTCCATATAGTGTTTCACATGAGATGTGGGTGCATGAGGTTAGCCCTAAAGAGATGGACAGTGGGATCTACCTCTTTGGTCCCACAATGCCTTTGGTGAAGCACTAATCCTTTACCAGGTAACCCTGCTGTCTCAGGGCAGGTATCTCTACAGAGGGTTCTCATCTCACTGCCTGAAGTAAATCAGCAGCCTCCCCGAGTCTCAGATGAATTGGTGGCTGTGCTACCAATAGAGACGCTACCCACTTAGGAGTTAGAAATATTCCAGTCACCTGCTGTCCTTCTTGTTGCCTAGGTTTCAGTGAGAGTTGCTTTTAGTAAATCACAGCATCACTCTCAATTTTAGCTGCAGTTTATAAAAACCCCTGCTCCCTTAATTAGTGATTTAAATGTGATTGAAATCATTGCTCTGGACCTTATAAGCATAGGAGATGAATACATATTTCTCCCTAAGTAGAAACTTCTCTAGAACCACTAATTTCTAAAACAAATAGAAAATAGATGACTGTACCTCTGTATCTTTTTTGCATTTGTCTGTTTATTTTTTATTTGAAACAAGTTGAAATCAACTTATTCAAATGTCATAAGATGAATTGCTCATGATTTACAAAAAGCAAAGCCTTGTGTGGCTTAGAAATTAATCCCAATCTGACTGCAAAGAAACACTACTCTGTCTTCTGGCTTCCAACCTGGGTATCCCACACACAGGGCAACTGTACATTGGAAACTGGTTCTGGAACCCTAGGACTGTTACCCCCATAAGAAATAGCAAGGCAGATAACAGAACCAAATTAAGGATGCTCCCTTGTATAATGTGATAGAATAACTCATTTGTAAGTTGCTAAGAAAAGCACTCTGTTAGTCAGCTTTCTGTTGCTAGGATAAAATATCTGAAGTAATCAACTTATAGGAAGAAAGGTTTATTTTGGCTCACAACTTCAGAGGCTTAAGCCCATGTGGCCCTGTTGCTTTGGACCTGTGGTGGCACAGTTCCACAATGGAATCGTGTGGTTGAAGGGGCTTGTTTACTTCATGATAGTTGGGAAGCAAAGAAAGAGACAGGGAAGAGCCAATTCCTCATACTTCCTTCAAGGGCATGTTTCTGATGACCTATTCCTTCTAGGCTCCCCTCCTAAAGGTTCCACCACCTCCCAATTGTGCCATAGACTGGAAACCAAGCTTTTAACACATGGGCCTTTGGGATACTCTTGCAAACCATAATTCATTCTTGTTTTATTCTGCATTTAAAATTATATGTTCCAGCTACTCAGGAGTTTGAGACCAGTTTGAGACCAGCCTCAGCAACTTAGCAAGGTCCTAAGTAATTTAGCAACACTCTGTCTTCAAAACAAACAACTATATGAAGTATGAAAAGGAGAGTTGCAGCAAATTGTGGTATTTAAGTCCCAGAAAAAGAAATGGAAGTGCCAAAGATCCCAATATGAGATTAAGAAACAGAAAACACTAGAAATGAATTCTGATCTTTGGTCCTTAATGATTCCTTCCTTAACTTTCAGAGAGTAAGACTCAGGAGGACCGACACTGAAAGAGCAAACAACAACAAATATATTGGCATCATATTAATTAGAAAGCCATGGGACTGAGGGTATAGCTCAGTGGTAGAATGCTTGCCTAGCATGCACAAGGCCATGGGTTCAATCTCCAACACCCCCCGACACACACACATACAAACACAAAGAACAAACAAAAAGAACAAAAGGGAAAAAATATAAATCCAGGTCATTCTTGAAAATAGGCACAGGTAGCCTGTTCAGAATTCTTCTTCTTCTTTTTTTTTTTTTTTTTTGTAAGTAATGATCAGGCATAGAAAAGCCAGCTTCAGCAACTTAGTGAGGCCCTAAGCAACTCAGCAATAGAAAAGCAATCAGATAAATCTTCTATCATATGGTGGCCAGGCCCTCACTCACTATACTCATATCAAGAAAAGGAGAAGTAAAGTTATTATGTGGAAGTGCTGTCTTGTATTATGTGCCTTGTGCCTTCATAGAGTAAGATCATGAAATCTTTTCTCAGTCACAGTCTGCCTGCCCAGACAGAAGCGTCACTGAAGCCATCTAATCTAACTTCAATTCTTCATCTAATGATACAAAGGACCAACATAATAAAATTATTTACCCTACTTTACTTTTGAGTTTAGGTGGATCAGTTAAGTGGAGCATAGTATTACTTTTATTGAAAATTAATTATCTATATGATCAATAGGAAAGTAAAAAGGAGTAACGGATATCAAAAAATTAAAATTCATATATAAATCAATATGTTAAGTGTGATGATTAAATCATAAGAAACTAGAAGAAAACGTGGACAGCATTTTTATAATTTTACATTGTGAAAAAAGCCTTTTCAAGCAAACCATAAAAAAATTGTTAAGAGGGGCTGGGGTTGTAGCTCCGTGGTAGGGCGCTCGCCTAGCACATGTGAGTCCCTGGCTTCGATCCTCAGCACCATATAAAAATAAATAAAATAAAAGTATTGGGTCCAACTACAACTAAAAAAATAAATATTTAAAAAAATTGTTCAGAAAGGTAAGATCCACTTATATGAACATGATGAAACAGAAATATCTGTTCACTGTTATGGATAGGTACTATTCATGTGCATAGTTTGCTCCAGGACACATTTGCAGGGGGATGCATCCAGCCAGTGAAAGTTGGGAAAGATGTTTCCCCCAAAAGGGAAGAGGACTAACGGGTCTCCTGTTATATAGGGTGGTTCCCAGATCTTTCCTCTTTCTCTCAGCAGCACAGCAGGGAGAACAGAACTAGAGAGTGAAAGGAAAATTGCTGTCATCAGTGCAAATACAATTTTTTCCTAGTTGCATCTCTCAATTGAGCACTTAAGCTGCTAAAATAGAAATGAATTTTTTAAAATGCTTAACATGTAAAAAGAAATATGGTCCAGAATATAGAAATGGATTTTAAATGGGATTTTTACACAAAAACTAAAAATACCTGATGTTTATAGTCAAAGCAGAAATGACATGAGTTTTCTAGAGAACACACACACACACACTCAGGATTCATAATATATACATGGAAAAATACATAAAATTCCAAAAACTGCTTCAATTAAATCCAGGAAGCTGGGTTAAGGTCTGCATGGAAGAGACTAAATCATCATATGCTTACATATATTGTTAAGGATTTGAGGGTTTTTTATGATTTGTTTGTTGTGCTGGGGATTGAACCCAGGGGTGCTCAGACATTGAGCCACCTCCCCAGCCCTTTTATATTTTTTATTTTGAGGCAGGGTCTTTCTAAGTTGTTAATAGGACCATGCTAAATTGTTGAGGCTGGCCTCAAACTTGTAATCCTCCTACCTCAGCCTTCCGAGTCACTGGGATTGCAGGCATGTGTGACCACACCCTCCCTGTGGTTTTGAGGGGTTTTGTTTTGTTTGTTTTGTGGTGCTAGAGACCCAGTTCAAGTCTTTGTACATGCTAGGCAAGTACTGTACCACTGAGCCATATCCTAAGACCTTGGGTTATTTTCATAATTAAATATTTTCTAAAAAATGGATAGAATTTGGGCTGGGGTTGTGGCTCAGTAGTAAAGACCTTGCCTAGCAAGCACTGGATTCAATTCTCAGCACATATAAATAAATGAATAAAATAAAGGTCCAATCAACAACAACAACAACAAAAAGAATCTGGAGGTAATGAGCTTGATACAAAAGCTCCAGTAAAGAAGAATTCAAATGTGTTTCCTTGGGAACAAGGACAAAATATATGACAGACAGATGCTTTCTGAGCCCTTAATCAAGAATTGAACACTTTGCTTGGTTTTCTTATCCTCTGCTTTTGTGAAGATCAGTAATATCCACTGTTGAGAAAAAACAAAAACAAAAACTTGCTATTTAGGAACTCTTCTAGGGAAGGATAATTACATATGCCTACATGGATGTCTGAAAAATATTTTTGTGTGTTTCTGGGGTTTTTTGTTTTTATTTTTTGGTACCAGGGGTTGAACCCAGGGGTACTTAACCACTGAGCCACATTCACAGCCCTTTTTTTTTTTTTGTATTCTATTTAGAGACGAAGTCTTGCTAAATTTCTGAGGCCACTGGGATTACAGGAGTGTGTCACCACACCTGGCTGGAAAATATTTGTTTAAGAGCAGGAATTCCATACCTAAATAAGTATAATAGTCTCTTTCTAATTGATCAACACATGGAATTGTACTTGTGTTGAGAAGTAGCAGAAATTTGCTTTCTCAAATATTCTTTTTAAATTGAAGAATTTGGATGTAATTTTATTATTGAATTGTTCCTTATTTTTGCTGCAAAGCTGTTACCTCCCTGTATAAAAATAACACCAGTCGGGCATGGTGGCACATGCCTGTAATTCCAGCATCTCAGGGGGCTGAGCCAGGAGGATCATGAGTTCAAAGCCAGGCTCAGCAACTTAATGAGGCCCTAAGCAACTCAGCAAGACCCCATCTCTAAATAAAATATAAAAAAGGGCTGGGGATGTGTTGTGGCTCAGTGGTTAAGTGGCCCCTAGGTTCAAGTTCAATCCCCAATACAACCCCTCCAAAAAAAAAAAAAAAAAAACCCACAAGCATATATATAGCAAAATTATGATAGTAATTATTATTACTATATAATTAAAAAAACTTTTCTCCACTCCCAGTTATTTCCAGTAGGAAGATCATTCAATATTTTTTATACTGGAGATAGGAACTTTTGGCTTAGTGACAATAGAAATGAAATTTAATAAAGCAAGCATGAATATATAGGCAAGATAAGGGGGTAACTAGGGCTTCAACTGAAGTGAGCAGCACCAATGAGGAAGCTGATTACTCTGTGATAGGAGATACAAGCTTTTATTGATTTGTCGCAAGGAGCATGTTTCCAAAAGATGTTTATTCTTATGCAAAATTTAGACTAT